ATAGCATACCTACAGAGAAGTGCACAAAAGTTAAGTCATGGCTTACTGAGTCATTACCTAATCAGTATTACCCATATAACAACCTTTGGGTATCTTTTTTTACAGGAGACTTTGCAGCAGTTGATCATGATGTCATTGCCAAATGTCTTAGTCATTGGCAGAAATCCCTTTTCTGGTAAGTATTAGAATTGGTATAATGTGATAATAGAGTCTTCTCTTTATGCAATACTTTATGCTTACCAAGATCTTGCTTACTTACATTAACACACTAGGTCTTTTATGACTTTATAGGGAAAGTTGCAGGTGATAATCTGTTTTATAGAGAGAAAATAAACCTAGAGTATTTGTAAGTTGTATATGGGATCAGATACACATTGTGCAATAAGTTCAGAGTTGTTTTTTTACAACCAAATTGATACTTTTTTGTGATGATTTTTAGTATCTCATTATAAACAAAAAGAGAGGATATTTAGTTACAACCTTAGAAAAGTGATTTTGAAGTAATTTCTAGGTTGCTGTGTGTATATATACTATCTACCATTGCCAAATTTGTCTGAATCTAAAGTTTTACTGACTGATAGGGTGTAATTTATATTAAACTACTTCTGATGGAAAGCTAAGAAGCAGTTTCTTGGATCATTTAGTTTACTTTTTTGAAACTTTTCTGCCCTTTACTAGATTTTAAATGTGACATGTTCAGAGTTTTAATTTTGAAAAGTTGGGGAAATTAGCAGCAACCACAGAGTTTCAACAAAGGACTTACTCTTCCTACAAGCTACGTGTAACCCAAAATAAGTATATTTTCCCCAAACCCCACTCCCACCCTCAGTCAAACTAACAAAAATAAAACCAAAAGGAGTTTTAAAAAATGAAAAAAATATTTATTTGGAGAAGGGTGATTAGTGCGGTTCAGTGTGGCTAAGAAGGTAGGTCGTTTCATTTAAAAAGATTTTGACTTTATCTTGATCTTTTATAGAGGAATGTTGTTTAATTATTGGCGTGTGGTCAAATTTTGGGCCAAAGAAGTTACTTATTTTGTCAGCTGAATGTTCTAAGAAAAATCTGATATGAATGCTGTCAGTGAATGAACTCTCTAGTTCTATTACAGATCATTAACTTTTTCCAGCTATTTATTTTACCAGTGTCCTTGTAACTCACTGCTTTTGAGGTTTTGGTCCCCATGAATCTACACAGTGGAAAGCCATGTAAATTTTATAGATAGATAAATCTGTATATAAGATGTCTTTTAGAAAGAAAACACTAATAGGCCTAAAAGAAGCCAGACCTGTTAGGAACCATTTTGGCTTTGTGACGTGTCCCTATATAAGCAGCTCTTCATTTGGTATGCTTGTGTAGTACAATCTATGGAAAAGTAGTGGATTTATAATGACCATACTTTTTTGCACAGAGCCTGGCATTCTATTTTATCTATACTGCAGCCCTTTAAGAAACTGAGATCCTTGCCCATGTCTTCTGCTATTACTTCATTGTACACATTCAGAGCTGCTTTTTAAAATTCTGCACTGCACTTTCAGACCTAATCCTTTGGTCAAATTATGACTCTTACTTCTAGAAGTGATTCTGCCAATACTGAGAAAGAGTGTTGAAGTAAAGTAAAATATTGTACTTAGTAATTGTTTTTATTTCAGAACAAGGCATAGAAGAAGTTAAAAAGTTGCTTTTACTTTTACTGGGTTGTGCAGTTCAGGTAAGTTAAAATATTTCTTCATATTTGCATTTTAATAACTTCCTTATATGTTTTTTCAGGCTCTGGTTTCTAAAAGACTTACAGATAGGCCATTGGTTTTCAGTCTGTTAGAAAGTTTCAAATAGCTGTGTAACCCCCCAAGGAGAATTTGGAGAAAAACACTTGTTTTGTTATCTAATTTCAAACTTTATATTATCAGATAGTCATAGCATTCAAAATCTTTGTTTTTTTTTTATTCTGCGGCTTCTAATGGCCCCAAGTTTTTCAAATTTCCGTAGAAGTGCCCTTAAAAACCTCCCCCAAAACATAATCCTTATGATTTAAACAGATGCATCTGTATTATAGAAAGGAAGCAGAATTAACAATTAAAAAGAGTCAGAATTATGAAAACTAATTTAGGAGTCTGAGTTGTAATTATATTGCCCTTTTTGGTCAATGATTATAATAATAGAAACTGTGATTTATTGAATGCCTACTTTGTGTCAGATATAACACCTTACATAGGTTTTCTCATATTTTTCAAATAAGGAGACTAATATTTAGATAGGGTGATATTTAAGTTATCAAAATTAAGTCACTTGTGAAAGTCAAGAAGGGTTCTCTCAGCAGTTACAGTGGAACTGCACGTGCATGTGTCACTGGGGCTGTCCCCAACAAATGAAGGGGCCACTTTAGATTTAAGTTATATTGCTGGCAGGCCGAAGAGTTGAGAATCACTTCTGGTCTGACTTCAAACCTATTATACTATGTTGATTTTCCTTTAATTTGCCATTATTTGGATGAGTGATTACAGTGTTACTTTAAACTATCATAGCTCTTTGTGGAATAAAGTTATTTGTAAACAAATAAATAATGTGGCCACTAATGATTTTTTATTACATATGCCAGAAGTCATATATTCAAGAGTACTGACTTTTAGAGCTGACTGCAGAACTATGTATTTTTATGTTATTAAAGCTTCATGATATGTAATGTATAGGTGTTTACTTCACAATTTATGAAATATGAAGTTGAATATAGTATTTATATTCATTGATCTTCTAATTTGGCCACCAGCTCTTGAGTTATAAACATAGCCATTAATTATTTACATCCTTTCTGTACTCTATTTGCTTTAAAAATACTCTGTTGATGAATGTTATGTAAATTTAGGCAACACAGTGATGGCATAAATTTGGTTGTTATTTCTGGTTACTATGTGGTTGTTATTGCTGGTTAGTAAAATTAACAGTGAATAAAGCAGAACCAAGGACTTTTTTATGAACACTTTAGGGAAAGGTTCAATATTAAGGAAACCAATGTTATTACCATCTCTAAGAGTAACAAAGAAAGATTATGAAATCTTAACTGCTTCCCCCCTACCCTACCATTTTTTATAACTCACATAATAGTGTCCCAGATGCTGGAAAATGAAAAGGATGGCATGAAAATAACATTCTTTTTCTAATAAGCTAAAGCTTTAGGTAGGTTAACCTATGTAAACCAGAAGTCTCTTCTAGTTTCTTCTAGACTTAAGAAAATATTCTTTCTGTGTACCATTATATTGTGTACCAATATATCGGTGATTTCCTAAAGAAATTTACAAATAATTTTTGACATTTGAATGACTATTGATACATATGTTTTAAAACAACTTCTTTCATTTTACTTTACTATTGAAATAAAGCACCTCTATGTAATGGGCAAATTTTTCTTAAAACCTCTTAATAGCCATTCTAGAAATCATCAATTAAAATGTCAGATATATACATTCCTTTTTATTAATGCACAGAACTACATGTGCATAGACGTACTGTTGTAAGGAGCCCACTTTCTAAAATAGTTTCCATTAGTGTCAGCATGTAATTAAAACAAGATTTTCTAGTGATGTTAAAGTGTTCTTATTTTTTCTATTAATTTATTAGCTGGTTATGATTACCTGTACTTTAGACTCACTTAGCAGGGAAGGGCTTGTTAGGTAGTTGTTATTTCAAATGGTCACTGGAGAAAGGAAGAAGAATATTTGGGTATATTAAGGTTTAAGAGAAGGCACAGAGTGGGAAATTGTGTAAAAGAATAATTATATAAATATGCATTGGTGTGACATAAATAAAGTAACCTAGAAAATAAAGGTAATTTTAAGATGTTTTGAGAGAGCAGGGCAGTATGAAGGTAGGTTTTAGAGTTGACAGAAGGAGTTCATTAGGTTTATAATTTTTTTCCTAAACTTGAGAATAGTTTAAAGAGCCACTAAATGAAATGTATCTGCCACATGAAAGTGTGACTCTTGGGAAGTATGAGTGGAGTCAGTGAAGAGTAATTTGTAGCACTATGTTTGGAAGATGTCTAGGACCCAAAGTAGCAAACACGTTTGAAAATAAAGAAAGAATAAATACAAGGAAGTTCATTTTTCATAGTAAGGATAGATTTTATCAGTTGTCAAAAACAAAGCAAAGACTCGCATCATTCTAATCTTAACCTGTGTCAGCATCATTCAGAGTTTTTATAGAAATGAGGAGGTGACAGGGTTGTCAGACCTTCGTCTTTGATGTGAAATGATGTGAACCAGTCATAGTATATATCTTATATATTTGCAGTCATGGCAGAATTTTTTTTTTCACTTGAAAGCCCTTGAGACACATCTGTAGTGACAAAATGTCAGATCTACCAAGAAAGGGGGGTAGGATCCAATTTTGAAAAAAATACTCTATTTTTTCATTCTGTATTTTTAAAATGTTAATGATTTGGGTTGTTTTTTTTTTCCAAATGTACACTATGTACCAGATGCTGTAGTTAAGAACAGGGACAGGGATTTTTTTTTAAATGCAAATCTCAGGGAGTTTAAATTTTAGAGACAGACCAAACAATAAACAGTACATGGTAATAATTACCATAATGCAAGATATATTGGTATACAAAGGGAATATTTTCTTAAGTCTGCTTGTAGTGTAAGGGAATGCCTCTCTCAGGAGGTAATTTTTGATGTGAGAGCAAAGATATTGAGATAACTTGTTAGGGACCATCAAGTGTGGTTGGAATGAAACATGCATTGGGGAGAATGGCAAGAGATTAGACGAGGGGTGACAGGGATTGGGTCACAAAGGACTGAATTTGCCATATTAAAATAGAGTTTGTGTTTCATCCTACAGATATTTGGGAGCTACTAATGCTATGGACATTAAATGTGTAACAATATTTATTGCTAGCCTTCAGCTCTAACTATATGAACAATTAAAATTAATCTTTGTTGATGTTGAAAAACAAAATGTATTTTAGGACCAGAAACTATTTAGAAAACTAATCATTTGACAAGTATTGCTTGAACACTTTTTAGAACATAATCTCTATTATGGAAAATCAGTTCATGTAGTAGTTGAATAGGTTTAAGTTCTAATATTTAGTATAATGTATAAATGGCATAAATGTTTTTTCACATTAAGATCTGCTTTATCTATTATACTTGTGATTTGTAAGTAGAAGTAGTAAGTTTAAAGTTTGCTGATTTGATACTATAGTGCAAGAATTCAGTGGTCTCTGGGTTTTTCTTTTGAAGAAAAAATGATGAAATTCTTAAGGGGAAGGCAGCATTCAAAAACAGTAACACTAGCCACTATCCAAATATCTTACCTCACAGAATAAATTATAATTAAGACTTTTATATATAAATACATATATATGTAAGCCATAGGAATAACTTTGAATATGAAGAAAACTGTTCAAGACCAGTGCTTGGGTATTTTCATTATTGGTGGGCTAAACCAGTCAGTTCCCTCCAGAACCTTTTTCAGTGGGTAACACAAGTCTCCTGAACCACCTCTGAGCATCAGCTAGAATTTTCAGAGATGTATGGCCCTGCATCCCCACTATGAGGTAGTTGAGAGATTCCCACAAAAATTCATCCCACACAAAAGGAAAAATTTTGCTGTGTATGTTGTATGGAGATTTCTCTTCCGAGACCAAATCTCGGAATTCACCCCTTTTCAGGCAAAATTACATTTTATATCCACAAATAACCTCTGGTTATTCAGTATCCAAAAACATTTATTTTGGACTTTGGCCAGTTCTATCAGTGCTTGAAAGTAACTGGGTGAGTGTCAAATGTGGTTGAAATTAAATTTTGACCTTAATGTGTGCCCTCACAAGTAATTCTAACATTAGTATTTGATTCCAAAAACCAGTTTCGAACTTGGTCAGCTTGTGGGCTACAGTCTATTGTTTCCTATCAGTTTTCTGTAAAGCATCTTAAAAATTAGCATTTTGAAATATTAATTATTGTATTACATTTTGGGGAGATAAAACAATCTATAACTTCTAGCTGAGGCATTTCTTTTTCAAAAATATGTGAAAATGTAGCTTAACTTAAAGAGGTAATTTATTTGCTGATATTTTGTAAAGTTTTATTATGTTTGTAGTCATGGAAAAATATATGTAATGTAAAATTACCATTTTAACCAATATTTACAGTTCACTAGCACTAAGTACATTCACAGTGTCATGCAACCATCATCACTATCCATCAACAGAACTTTCTCTTCTTCCAAAACTGAAATTCTATGCCTACTGAATAGTAACTCCCCATCCCTTTTGCTCCCAGCCTTTAACAGCCACCTTTCCACTTTCTGTCTCTATGAATTTGACTGCTCTAGGACCTCACATAAGTGGAGTCCTATACTATCTGTCCTTTTGTAAATGGACACTTAGTATAATCTCTTTAAGATTCACTCAATTTGTGAAATGTTATAAGTTCCTTTTCAAGAGTAAATAGTATTCCATTGTGCATATATACCACATTTTGTTTCTCCATTCATCCATTGATGGACACTTGGGTTGCTTCTATTTTTTGGCTACTGTGAATAACGCTGCTATGAACATGGGTGCACAAATAGCACAAGCTCCTGCTTTCTATTCTTTTGGTATATATTCAGAAGGGGAACTGCTGTATCATATGGTAGTTCTGTTTGTAACTTTTTTAGCAACTGCTACTGTTTTCCATAGTATCTGTACCACTTCACATTCCCACCAATACAGAGGGGTTCCAATTTCTCCACATCCTCTCCAACATTTATTATTTTCTGCTTTTTTTTTTGTAATAGCCATCTTTTAAGGAGAGAATTTTAGTTTCCCTGTGTTTCTTTTATTGTGGCTTATTTTTGGTGTTACTTAGGTAGAACTATGATATGTTTAGCGATTGGTGTTTTTATTATTGAAAGCACTATAATGTATTCCTTGCTTCATTATTTTCAGTGTTTGTTTTGGGTATTCCTTCCTCTATTTTAGTATAATTTTTCCACAAAAGCCTGTCTTCTTCCTTTAAGAAGTGAAAGCACTGAGAGTACCAAGTGAATATGAGGAATCTGAGGAATAATGTATTAAGAACTTAAATTTTAGGGTTAATGCAATTCTCCTTCCCACACCTTGCCACCCAAATAACTTTTCTGTTCTTTTCCTGTATTCCAGTGTCCATATCATATTCTTGGAATATCATGGTATTTTTCAGGCTTAGGAATCCATTACTGTAATAGAGTTAGAAGTAACTTTAGTGCTCATAACCCTTGAAGAGCTTTATATACAGGCAAAATAGAGCTTACTTTTAAGTGGAAAAGATTTGCTGATGATTATTCAGTCTTCACCAGAGTCTTTATAGCTGAAAGTGAAACTACTTTTATGTCTTTTTTTAACACCAGACTTTTTTATGCTCTTGAGCTAGGCCTGTTTGTACAATAGCCACTGAACATGTAGCTATTTAAATTAAAATTAACTACAGTCAAATAAAATTAAAATTCAATTTCTCAGAAATATAGCACTTGCTACATTTTAAAACTCAGTAGCCACATGTAGCTAGTAATTACAGTATGTGACAACACTGGTATAAAACATGGTCTGATGATTTAACTTCAAAGTTTGAATCTTCTCTCATTCTCTTTTCCATCTTTTAATAGTCTTTCTTTTTTCTATCCTTCAAGATCCTATAAACTTCATTCTGTATTCTTGAAGAAAACCTATTTATAAAGCATTTTCAGAATTCTTACAACATTTAAAACATTTACAGTTTGAATAAAGATGAAGTTTAGTAGAAATTGTGGGTATTTTAAGGGTAAAGGAAGAATTCTTACTGATTTGTGTTTTATTAGGTAGGTATATTAGAGACTTTATTAGGTAAGTATATTAGAGACCATTTAAATACAAAGTAAAACAAACCCTCATTGTACTGTTCAAAATATAGCCAGGCTTTTTGACCTGATAAGTTTTAATTAAAGCATATTAAGTACTTTACCTGTTAAGTGTGAATGATGGTTTTATTCATTTCTTTTAGTGTCAGAAAAAAGAAGAATTTATTGGAAGAATTCAAGGCTTAAATTTTGACACAAAAGCAGCAATTGCTGCACATATTCAAGAGGTAATATAACCTGCATACAATTTTTATGTACTTTTTATGAAGCCTGTGGTGTATTTGAATATGTCCCAAAATACTCAGAGAATAAGCATGAACACATGAAGGTCAAGTACTAATGAACTCTGCTTTTAGGCATTTTGTTTTCTTCTTGTCAGAAATAGTTTCTTGAATGAATTATCTTATATATGGCACAGTGCTTAACTACAGATGTACTGTGGTAGGGACATAGGCACAAAGTGTTAATTTGATGAAGTATATGTCTTTGTTAGCACAGAGTGAGTAGTGTAGTAAATGGAAGCAGCAGAAAGTGGATCACTTCCTGTAATTCAAAACTAAAGTGAGGTAAGGTAAGATAACAACCTTAGTATTATGTTCTTCCAGTGATTTTCTTTTGAATGAATATTCAGCATAATTTTTGTTGAAAATATTACTTGAATAATAAATTCCTTAGTGATTTGTAGTATCCATATAAAACTTAAATCTAGGACATACTGTGCAATGTCAAATAATTAAAGTTAAGATAATTTATTTGTTAAGATTGATTTTAAAAGCTGCCATTTCTGCCTCTCTCCAGTGATAGGCTTTTAATCTTGCATGCTTAACAAGACTTTAGAACTAGAGCATATGAGATTTTCCAAGTAGAAAAAGAACTGAAAAGGGAGGGGAGCAAATTTTTAAATGGTGAAAATAAATGGTAGTGTTAAAAAATATTATGTAAATGACTTTGTGTTCCATCTATCATCGTTTCTCATAGTTAACATTCACAGAGCCCAGCTTTCTTGTCTGTAATATTGTTTGTCAACAGTAAGCATATTAGTACTCTATAAAATACAGTTTTATTGGTATTGGTTTATGTATGTGTGTGTATGTATATATATGTATATACATACACACACATACATATATGTTTGTTTATGCTTGCTTTGTGGTTTGTATTTTATTTTGAATAAATGCTAAGTATTGCAAGTTATGAAATATGCCACCATTCTTGAAAGTGTTATTCTTTCTGCTTATTTTAAAAGTTAAAGGAAAATATTAGAATCATGGTGAGAAATGGAAAATTAGAAATACGTATTTTACTTAAAAATCTTTTTCATATTTTAATATATAAGTATGAATTTTATTGTATAAATATGAATATTATATATGAATATTATATATCTCAACAAATATTATACTAAAATGAAACCTGTTTTTAACTATTAGCCATTTTTTAATTGTTTAATTGGTTTGCTTTCCTAAAGGTAATCGATAATCAAGAGAATGTGTTTGATCTTCGGTGGATGGAAGAGACTGATACGTCTCAAGAGGAACTAGAACGACTCTTGAAAAATATGGCATTGCATCTAAAAAGACTTACAGATGAAAGAGATGAATATTCAGAGGTTTGTGGATTTCTTTCAGTGTATTATAAAAGTTTGCTTTCCAAAAAAGGAAAAAAGTAGCTTCAGAGAGTGTTTAGAATTGATACTCTGTTGCTTAGGGACAGTAATAAAGTACTGTATATCTTTTTTTGTGCAACACAGGAACTAGAAAGGATGTATAAAATCCCCAAATTGCTAGTAAACAGATTGCAGTTAGGTTTTCTTTTCTCCTTCCTTTTAAATTGTTATTCTGATTTTCATCCTGTATGTTTTTTCAGTCATCTCCATAGCTCTGGCAGTAGTACAAAAATGTGAAACTGAAAATATTGTTGATATAAGTGGAGAAATCATTGCCTTGAAGCATAAGAATCAACTTAAAGTTATCTTAGTTTTATTGCCACATTTTGAGTTTAGAAAAATAAGTGTTAATGAAAGGAGAATAACAGGTGTTCTGAATAAAATGTCCCACAAAATATTTCAAATTTCTGTAGTCAGTATAATGAAGTGTGAATTTTAAAAAAAGAATTATTATACCCTCCTTTAAGAGAGTACTTTGCTTTTATTTTTCTTAGATGTATTTATTTATTTATTTATTTTGGTATCATTAATCTACAATTACATGAGGAACATTATGTTTACTAGACCCCCTCATCACCAATTACCCCCCACAAACCCCATTACAGTCACTGTCCATCAGCATAGTAAGATGCTGTAGAATCACTACTTGTCTTCTCTCTGCTGCACAGCCCTCCCCGTGCCCCCCTTCCACATTATACATGCTAATCATCATGACCCCTTTATTTTTTCTCCCCCCTGATCCTATCCTTCCCACCCATCCTCCCCAGTCCCTTTCCCTTTGGTAACTGTTAGTCCATTCTTGGGTTCTGTGATTCTGCTGCAGTTTTGTTTCTTCAGTTTTTTTCTTTGTTCTTATACTCCTCATGTGAATGAAATCATATGGTACTTGTCTTTCTCTGCCTGGCTTATTTCACTGAGCATAATACCCTCTAGCTCCATCCATGTTGTTGCAAATGGTAGGATTTGTTTTCTTCTTATGGCTGAATAATATTCCATTGTGTATATGTACCACCTCTTCTTTACCCATTCATTTACTGATGGACACTTAGGTTGCTTCCATTTCTTGGCTATTGTAAATAGTGCTGTGATAAACATAGGGGTGCATCTGTTTTTTTCAAACTGGGCTGCTGCATTCTTAGGGTAAATTCCTAGAAGGGGAATTCCTGGGTCAAATGGTATTTCTATTTTGAGCATTCTGAGGAACCTCCATACTGCTTTGCACAATGGTTGAACTGGTTTACATTCCCAGAGAGTACTTTCCTTTTTAAGGAGAACAAAATTACACAGATTTTTTTGTCAGCACACTCTGAAAGCAGCTTATAATTTTTAGAGAAGTCTAGACTTTGTGCTAAATGATGCTGAGTAATGTTTTCTTAATACCTGACCAGATTACTCTGCCTTTCAGGAGAATGTGTTGCTTTGATCAGATGTTCCGTTTACATGGGAGAGGCAGTTTTGAGCTTATTTATAGAAAATTTGATCACTCATGGGACTAACAAAAGACTACATCAAAGAAATTCCTAAAGATTTTTATTTTCTGAACCAAAACTCTGTGTTGCCATATAAATGAAGTATAAAAATCAAATGAATAATCATAATTGACCTGATTGTTTATAGTTCACAATGCGTGATCAAAACCGAAAGTTTCTGTGATGACTGCCCTTGCACTGTTCACCATGTAAGAACTTATTCACTATGTAAGAACTTGTTCACCATGTAAAAAATTGTTTGTTATGCTTCAGAAGATTGGAGACTGTTGAGAATTAGGCTTGGGGTTGATTGATGATTATTCATTGAGTCCCCTATACAGAATTTTATTGTTGTTAACAACCATATGATCAATAAATATGAGAGATGCCCTCAAAAAAAAAAAAACTGTGTTGCTATACAGTGTATTAATTTCTGATAAAAATTTTCAGTTTTATTCACACATTAAAAGAGAAAATGTATAGGAAATAAGGAAATATTTTAGACCAGCAACTAAATTTAACAAAAAAATCTAAGACATTGAGACTGAAGAAAGAAAACAGTGACCTAAAATGTATCCTGAGTATATGTCAAACTTATTCTGAGGTACTTAGATCATTTCATTTTCAATCTGAATTTTGAATCATATTTACTGTATGTATATATATATATATATATATATATA